GGCCAATCTGATCATACAAACAGTGTCTCTCCACTACTCGAACGCAAAATTGTGCTAAGCTGGTAAGTACCACTACTAGGCTTGGCTTGATGGTAGTAAGTTTCGACGATAGGTGAGCTTCCTGTCTGAACTAGGATGATCACTGCAATGGGATAACACGCCTATGTATCAGATAATGTCATCAGTCACCGCAGAACATTGAACATCAGCAAAACCTGGGTAAACTGTGGATTCCTGTGTATTCCTGTACAGCACTGTACAGAAGCCCCAATACAATCCACAGAAGCCACAGAGCTGTCCAGTTCTGTGCAGAGGGGGACCTTGCTGTGGGATCACCCAGGTTTTGCTGATGAAACTTTGACAAGTACTCACAGAAGCGACAATCGACATGGCAGTTATAACATTCATTGCCTGCGAGAATCCAAGGTCCACCGCCGTGTATGTATCCAGTAAGATAAAGACAACATAGACCGACTGTATTCCACAGTATACAGCCCCAGACTCGACCAAAAGCAGCAGTATATTCTCGACACGGGTTCTTCCGCCATGGATTGGCAAGGCATCTGACATGATGCGGTGGTGACTCCTAAAAACAATCGCAGAAGATGAGCTGCTACTATAAATCCAAGGAAAGTTTGGAGCCAACCTACCATGCTTTATACGCAATCAACAAAGTCGCAACGATATTTACCACCAAGGAAATCAAAGCTGAAAGCCAATCCAGAATAGTGGAACTGGAAACTTCTATCGTAATCTCGACATTATCCCAGATGCAGTCTGCGATATTGATTCCTAGTGCATTTTTAGGGCAGTTGGTATCAATGTGTTGATGCTAGTTACGCACCTATGTTGGCAAACATGAGGACGGTCAGAACAGATTTACAAATCTTGTCATTCTGGAACAAAATCCATGCTCTCCAAACCACAATGCCATCACTGAGAATCAGCTAGACGGAAAGAAGATTAATACACATTATTCGGAACATTGCATCAAGCTCACATTAATCGTTGCTGCCCATCCTGGCATATACTGCCATGTCGAGGTTTTTTCATCTGACGCCTCGCCTTGAGCAGCAATTCCTCCTTCTAGCGTCCTCATAAATGTATATTTGACATCCATTAGATTGAAACCGCCAGAGTAGAAGACATCCCAAGTGAAGCAGACGAAAATTGTAGTCAAGCAGATAAGTAGGAGGGTTTGTGATCGTCCAAAAGATTTCGATCTATCAGCTCAACGTTGAAGACGTATAAAAAACATTTAAAAGTTGTGGTTATGCGCACGCTAGCGAATGGACTGTAATGCCTGTTCCTAAAGCAAACGCTCCTAGTAGAAGAAATGGGTTAAATTGAGGTTTGTCAGTTCAGACACTTTCTACATACCGTAACCGGTTATTGTCACTATTAAATTGACAGTGTTAAAGAATGCGACTTGAGCAAAGGAAAAAATCAACTCTTGTTCTTCGGGAGACATTTGTCGACAATGATACAGTGCGCGAGTGTATTCAATGTTGCATTTGGCTTTATGAGAGCAATACCTGAACACCTGATTATATACTCGATCGAGTCTCCATTCGGAATGATAGTGGCTTTACTTACAAGTTACGAATGAATACACTTCGTAGATAAGGTATGTTTCAAGATAAACACCGGTTACAGAATCATCATCAAGACTAACATCGCCTCAAATAGGGCAGTGTTGAAGATGAGCGAAGAGCCACAAAGACCGAAGGTCCATCCATGACGAGACGCCAAGCATACAGTACGAAATGAGCCCTAAGGTCGTGTGGTACATTTTCTATTGTTCAGTTACAACATGCATTTCGGCAGAATGCATGCAATTCATCCATCCGGGGAACCTAAAAAGATGATTAAGAGCTGCGTTACCGGGGTGAGAACAGTCTTAATCTACCTGGCCTTGGGATGAAGAGCGATAACATCGCCTCTTCGAGCCTCCTGAGTAAATTCAGGATATTAGAAGTAAAGAAATCTAGCGAGGGACGTACTTTGATAAACGGAGTCCTCCAGTCGAGATTGACACGATGCACTCGAGGAGTGGAATCAGCAAAAGGCAAGCGGATGATCTCGTATCGAGTGTCTTCAATCATAAATCCCCTAGGTTGTCCTTTCAAAGCGTCTTTCAAATTTACTTGAGTTCGTTTCCCATGGGGTCCTGATTCTCGCAGAAGCGCAAGTTCAATCCACGTCCAAGCGCCATCTGCTTGACGAGCAGCTAAACAGAAAGGAAATTAGAATCAGAAGTTCGGAGAAATCCCCGTCTAGAATAGCTTACATGTATTTTCTCTGCCTTGATCATGACACTTGACCTCGATGCACAGTTGGCGAAGGGGATGCTCGCTGAAACCCTCTAAAGGAGCAGATGCAAGATAAAGACGGTCATCATGCTCCCTATATTCTGCGTGGATCCTAGAAACATACGGAACCACCCTCCAGCGATCAACGTTTCTGCAATCCGGTGAGCTCTGTGACGTTATCAACAGTGGGCATCGGCGCCAGTAAATCTGTAGCTTGGCTATTTGAATCTGGTGCTTCTAGTTGCTTGATGAGATCTGATAGCGTTGGGCGCGCTGATGGATCAGCTGAAGTGCATTGCCTTGCTATCGATGTTAGCAATGGTAATTTGCGGGAAGGATTCCGCTCTTGGATTAGTGTTATCAGTGTGGCCACTATTGCACCCAGAGAGAAAATATCGGATGCAGTGTTTGGAGATAGAGTGTGATCCTCAAGAAGTTCTGGGGCAGTCCACGGGCGGAGGCTCTGCTCCGCGTCCGAACGTGCATCTTCAGAGATCCGCAGGTCACTGTGGTGCAGACCCACAGATCCTACAACAACAACTCCTTTATTGTCAACATCTACAGTAGCCTAGAAATCGAGAGTCAGAGGGTATTTCCGAAACAGAAAGAGATAGCTCAACGGGTCTCAATCCACCGTGAATGACAGGTGGGATGCGGGTGTGCAAGTACTCAAGTGCACGCACAATATCAAGAACCTGGATGGGTGAGGTTCAAATAGGTTCAATCAAGAGTTAAGTGCAACTATACTTGCCAGCCGTCGATAATTAGGTTTTGCGGAGACCTTTACATACTCTACAATGTTGAGATGCGAGGGCTCAATTAGAATGAATGGAGGATTGTCCACAGTTGATGCTCCCAGGAATCCTACGCTAAGGATTAGAAGGTGCATCGCTGAGAGTAAGATCTCTCGAACCTTGAATACGGTTGCTTCTCAAATTCTTCCAAGCCTATCCCGACAAATAAGCCCAGCGGACGGACAAATATTTCACCAAACTCACCTTTACAAACCGAGCCGTCGTCTCTGCATCTTTCAACTCCACAATACCAACCGCTTGTCGCAACCATCTCCAGCCCTTATGAACGAAGTTGGATCAGACCCCATTAAAAACCCTCTCTCAACCTCCCAACTCGTAACAGTCCATGACTTGATCTTTATCACTTCCATAGCCGATCTTTGCTCGTTAAGACGTGCGATTCCAGCTCTCAGAAATTCAATCTCGGCATCCTTCAATCGAATCCTCCCCGTATCGTGCCGTTCCAGCAACGCGGTCATACCAGTAATCGATACCGTAGAGTCGACATTGATAGTTTCGAGAATCGTATCAAGCATTTTTGGATCGGTCGATGGGGAAGATAAAGAAGCGACGGCATCGTGAATCATCGCCAGCTGTTCTCTTTGGTCTTCAAGTTTGGCAGTGTGAAGTTGTTCTGCAGAAATTCGATTGCGATTGTGATCATTGGCAAGGTTCCATAGATCGTCAAGTTTCTGATTGGCTCGGATTAGAGCTGAATTCTGAATGCAGGCGTTTAAGAGAATGAGCGGTGCTCGAGCTGACAAAAAAAGTTGCTCACCTGGAACGCAAGACAGGATGACCACAAGTTGCGCTCAAGCTCCTCGATTGTTAGCTTGATATCGCTAGACTGTATCATAGCTTTGAAGAGGTTCTTGTTCTTCAGAGATATCGCAAAATCTCTGATACTCTCAAGATTACTGGTCCAAGTCGAGATCAGAGGAAGCCTTGAATTTCTTCGAGCAAAAAAAAAGACGCACGAAACCAAGGTCTCCACACTCCTCTGAAGCGTCTCATCAGCAAAATTTTGCGGAACCTTGAGAGACGCTAGGATGTCGCAAACACGAGAGAACAAGACCTTCAACTGGTTCTTGTTATCCCGAGCCTACATGATAGCTAGGATTAGTTTTGCAACAAGTACCAAATCCTGGAAATATTATTTCACCTGGTTTACGGCATCGAGAACTTGCTGAAGTGCACTGACGATTGTGCTCGATATTGGTTCTGGAATCGCAGTGATAATCTGGTCGATCCGTATTTGATAAATACAGTGGGCCTCCTAGCATCGATTGCGCTCTACTCACAGGTAGAACCAGATTGAAGCATTGTAATACATTGATTGAGAGGTTCATGTTCGAGTTTGAGCCACTAAGCGCCAAAGTGGGCAAAAAAAAAACAGCGACCAGCACTCTATTTATCATCCGATGACAAGGGAAAACGTGTACGCACTATAGAGATGCTAAAATGCTAAGGTTCTGCATTCATTGCATTGACATCATAGAATGTTGCATCTCTTGGATGGCAATCAGCGGCGTAGCTAGTACTGTAGCCGTAGAGCTGGGTACAAACCAACAATTCATTCTGGGTGAGATGCGAGAGCCACGGTGATATATGAAATGATTATGAACTGTCCAACGGAGAGCGGTTCAGTTCGACTCTGTAGGACTCTGTTCTATCGATTGAGGATTCTTTCGTACCGCAGTAAAATGACTGTAACCATCAACAGTGAATTGAAAGTAGAAAACAAAATATTGTCAAGAAGGTAGCCAGAGTCTGGATTCCTGGCTGCAGAGTGATGAGGGTCAACATGTCGATATACAGAGTCAGAAATGGTCAAAATACTAACTACTATAGGTGCAGAATCACATAATTACACTGGCAACCATTCTGTCGTTATGGTTCGATGGCGTAGCTTGGTTATCGCATCTGTCTAACATTCAGCTTACACAGAAGGTCCCCGGTTCGAGCCCGGGTCGAATCATATCTTTCGCTATTGGTCGCGTCATTTTTATTGCTACAGCTCGCTTAGCAATTGTATCTTGGAATCACTGCTGCCTTCATCCTTCATTTACCGCCTCCCATTGAGCTTGTTCTTCATACGCCGCCTCCAACTTCAAGTTGGAACACAGTAGGCTGAGGAAAAGTAAATCGATGCGGAAGCGGAAGCTGCATCCGCCTGTGAATACCAGGGTATACGCAGAAACTGAATCTACGAGGACCAAGTCACTGTCAGAGCTACTGCCAACGTTCCCGCCCAAGCTAAAGCCAAAGGCGCGCTTCGAGCCCCCATGAGATATGCATGTGAATGTTCCCGAGACCTTTCGAGTGTGAAAACGAGTGCGGAATTACACGTCCCGTGAATGCTTCGTTGACTCTTCCAAGGAGAAGTAAAAAGAAACTGACTTGGTCTCCGTATTCATCTCGAGACAGATAGAGAAGTTGATAACATTCTCTACATCTAACAGAGGATACGTAGAATGACGCCGAGTACAGAGATACGGAATTCTTTTCGAGATCACGTACTCCGTCTGTCTGTCGCTCTGTAGAAGACAACGTACGGGAACGACGATTCGCTTAGGCGGAGGATGTGTTGTGGTGTCTGGGGCATTGTAATCCTTGACAGATACAATTCCGATGCTCCTGGTGTGCCCATACCCATGCCAATACCAGCCTCCATCTGTGTCACAGCTTTTAATCGCACCTCGCTCATACCGGCGGTCATATCCAATCTCGACGAAGAACGAACGTCTCCAGTTCTAGTAGAATCACTCTGCAGTTTCGCTCTCAACGGCGTAACCACGTCCCTCCAAATACTGTCGAAGTGTCTCTCTCTCCCCCTCCATCAACTTCTCCTCCCTCATCGCCGACTCTTCCTGCAGGTCCGACTGTCGAACCGAAATATTGAACGCTGTTTTTTCATGGTTCCGACTTTGGATCTCGGATCTGAAAGTACTCGTTCTTTCGTTTACGACCGTAGGAGAGGTAACATGAAGGATTGGATTTGCGAAGAAGATTGGGTGGATGGAGAAGGGCAAGCATGTGAGGCGCATAGTGCGTGAGCGAATAGTCGAAGAGTATAAAGAGACGAGACAGAAAAGGGGACAGATACGGACAGGATGATGAAACCCATCCAATCCCACCAAACCCAACCTCCTCAAACGCTACCGAGAGCTTCAAGTGAAACTTCAACTCTCCGCCAGCGTGACCATTCCAACTCTTTATTCCAGGCTTCACCGCCTAGAGCAGCCGAATCGTCTTCACCGAAGAAGATGTTGAGATGTACACACAGTAGGAGCGCAGGAGTACGTGCTGCTTGTATCGGACGGAGTTCTGGAAGGAGAATTTTGAATGCATTGCGGGCCCTCGTACTGGCGTTCGGGTTATTAGAGAGAAAATTTGGATCTACGTGGATGTAGGTAACGAGAAACGGGTAAAGACCCGGAGAGACTCACCCAAGTAGAAAGCCACGGCTATGACGCTACGAATCCGCTTCCTTCCAATCCGTTCCATCTACTTCGAACCGTTTGATTCTAATGCCCCAGTATATTCCCTGAGATTTGATCGAGAACGTTATACGTGCGCGAGAAGACGTCCAGTAAAATGAGAGAAGTTCGATCGTGGTGGTAATTTGAACGATGGCTAGTATGTGTTGATCGCTAGAGGCGTTAATTCCAACGGAAATCCAGTCAAATCCAGGGCCAGCTTCGGGCCAGAGTTCTTTCAGAATTCAGAAACGGGTCGGTGTAAAGTCTATTCATGTCCGGGAAGCTTCGTGATTGTGAGTCGCGTTGGCAATCCAGAGTTAGATTTACAAGTGAGATCTGTTGTCGGACCTTTAGTATATAAAGGTGAATCGTTCACAACGTCTTCGAAGTTAAAAGGTGAGTTGGTTGGTTTATTATCCGGACTTTCCTCGGGTTTAGACTCGGTCCCACTCGCCTCAGTGACTCACGCCAACTTTTGATGGGTTGATCAGCATCCCGGATAATATAATACCGCTTGAGCTCTGATCCCAAAAGGCCGGATTTTGGCCAAATTTGGAGGTGATGTATCATGCCAAAGGCCAAATTTTGGCCCTTTTTGGATGGCAGGTCTAGTGTAAGTAAAGGCCGAAAAAGACCGATCCGAGACCAGGTTTGATCCGAAAGGGCCGAATTCTGCGGTGAATTTGGATTTTTGGAGTGGTCAGTTAGTAAACAAAGAGCAAGTTATGTAGAGCTTAGAAATTTTGTTTCTTGAGAGATTGTTTGCTGAAAAATCCAAGCTATCGACGCCTAATCTGATGAGCTTGCAGTTAGACCGAAAATGTAGTGTGGCGCTTATTGGGCGCTTAAACGGCGGAAAACAAAGGTATGGTGCCCAAAAGGGCCGGAAACGGAAATTTTCAGACCAGGTATGGTGCAAAAGGCCGAATTTTGTCCAAATCGGGCCATACAAAAAGGCCGAATTTCGACTGTTTGGGATCAGAGCTCAAGCGGTATTATCCGGGGTCCTGGTTGATCTTCGATCGATTGTCATTTGAAGTGGCAAAAACGGGCCGTACAGCCGACGGGAACGAGTCTACCTCGGGTTCCCGAAAATGCTATTGCTCCTGTCAGCTCGTCTGCTTACTGCGCCGTCATCATCGACGCTGTCGATATCGTTGACATTTGCACCTTCTGACGTCGCCGTCAAACTTAGATTCGAATTCTGTCATGCTAGTGAATAGTGACTGGGGTTATCTGGCATCTGCATGGGTCGCAATAGAAGATTGAACGGAACACGTTTTGCTGATGGTAGTACTGTTTAAAATATACAATCATATGATCATTTGTTGGAAACTCTATATAAGAGGAATACTTGGTCGAAAGAGCCCACATTTTTCCACCATTTCATATTGAACATGACATCCTCTGCTCCCCACATGTTCACCGGGGCTCATGATTTTACCATGGAGCGTCCCACCTTCCAGAATGCACATATCATGCATATTCATAATTGTGTGTTCGTTTTTTGGACTATCCCATTGTTACTGACAGGAAATTCAAGATTCAAGTGACACTCAAACTCCGACGAGTGCAATTCAAATAAAGAGTGAAATGAAACAGATTATCAGATGGCTGAGTCCCTCCAATGCTTTGCAGAGCCAAGAGTTTTTTCTTCACAAAAGAACAGCTGGAACTGGTGAATGGTTTCTGGAAGGAAAGGAATTCAATGATTGGAAGCAAACTCCTAACTCGCTTCTCTGGCTGCAAGGCAATAGTGAGTTTCTGGATTCAGAGTTGAATTGTGCTCCATGTCTGAGGATTAAAATATAGTGGGCTCTGGGAAAAGTGTGCTAGTGTAGGTTAAAATGTAATTGACTGTATTGAAACATGGCTTACCTTCTTCCAGATCTGCCATCATCAATCATGTGAAGAGTTTGGATGCCCATAAAAACCAACTGGTGGCATTCTACTTTTTTGATTTTCGAGATGCATCCAAACAAAGCTTGAACAACCTAGTCTCAACTCTTTTATCACAGCTGCTCTCTTCAATCACAATACAAGAAGAAACATATTTGGCTATATGTGAACTCTTTGATATTCACAAGAAGTTTAAAAGCAAACCAAGTGAGAGAGAATTAATAGCCACCTTGATAGAGGTCATTTCAGCTCTTGAAGTCAATTCATTATTCATAATAATTGATGGAATTGATGAAATGGAGAGTCAAGGTTTCAAACCTATGTACCAGCTTATAGAAGAGCTAAGCAAAATGGCATGCTCCCATTTGCATCTACTCATAGCAAGTCGTCCGCATATTTCTTATGCCCATGAATTGGAACAACTTTGTTCAAAAGTTGTCCTGATTGATAAAGAAAATGTAAACACTGATGTGGAAATCTTCCTGGATTATACCATGAAGAATGATCATGCATTTGGCGGTCATAGTGTTGAAGAGAAAAATCGAATTGTAGATAGTATAACTGGACGGGCAAATGGAATGTGAGTATCAATATCAATCCCGGTTGGAAAGTTGTCCTGACTGCTATGCTAGGTTTCGTTGGGCTAATTGTCAATTAATTGCACTGCAGTCATGCATAGGTCTCAAGGCCGTTGATTCTGTTTTGAATCAACTCCCTGCCAATCTAAATGATACTTATATTCAAGCACTTAAAGCAATTGAACCTTCTCGCATTGAGGATACAAAGCACATTCTACAATGGCTTTGTTTTTCAATGGAACCTTTGACATTAGATGCCTTGGGGGAAGTCATTGCCTTTGTAAATGATGATCATGGAGTGAGATTTGAGAAAAGATACCGAGTCTCTCCAGAGCGTATAACCTCCCTTGGTGCAACACTCATACATATAGACCCGTGGAAAATGTTGTGGAGCTTGCACATATATCTGTGAAGGATTTTCTCCTATCTGAGCACCTTAAATCTCATGTAAACACTGAAGTGTCACAGTTTCACATGAATGAATATTTGAGTCACACATTGATAGTAGAAAGTTGCTTGGCATATCTGATGCAGTTCAACACAGAAATAGCAGATACAATGCAATGGAATGAGGAATATCCAATCTCAGGATATGCTGCTCGGCACTGGTATAAACATGCAAAAATGGCAAACAGTGATAAAGTATATCAGAATGTAAACTAAGCTCTTCCAATCATACGGGCCTGTTTATATCAATTGCCTGAAACTGGCGAAATTTGAAGAGGATACAGAAAAATGTGGGGCTGTGCTCTGCACTGCCTCAACCATTGTATTATGCTGCTTGGTGTGGCCTTCTAGCTGTGGTCAAGCGGCTGGTAAACAAAACAAATGTAAATGCCACAGGAGGAATGTGGGGATCAGCATTAGGGGCAGCAGTACAAGGATGTAACACAAAGAGTGAACATGGGAACATTGGTTTGAGACAGGCAGCACAAAATGACTATTTTGAAATTGTGAAGCTTTTGCTGAACCATGGGGCAGAAAAGGATATACCAGGCATTAAAAAATATACACCACTT